GAGCAAGATTGAAGGCGGGAGGAGAAGAGGATGACAGAGGATGAGATGGTTGGATGGCATCACCAATGTGATGGACATGAGTTTGAGTAGGATCCAGGACTTGATGATGGACAGGGAGGCCTGGCGTGCTGCAGTCCATGGGGTTGCAGAGTCAGACATGAATGAGCAGCTGAACTGAACTCAACTGAACTGATGTCAGGTCTGGGCTGAGAAATATACAAGATGAACCTGGGATATCTTAAAAGCCAGGAAGCTAACAAAGAAAGGCTTCTGGGGTCATGGGCAATGGATTCTGAGGCCAACGTGAAGAAGCTCTCACTGGACAATTAAAGCAGTCTGAGCTTCAGTTAGAAAAATAATGTCAACGATTTAAGACACAGGAAATGTTTCAAGTCCATGAGTTAATAAAGGTACTTGGGGGAAGAAAACCTAATTGGAAGATGCCAGAAAGCCAATCCATTCTTTTCCAATCTAGTAAATAACAAGAATCAAGCATGTATCATGCTTTCTCTGGGTGAATTGTACTTCATGGCAACAAAATACAAGAGAGGAGAAAGTTCTTTTTATAGAAGTGTTTTAGCTAAGGAATGAAGAAGGAATAATAAGAATACCACATTTTGAAATTCCCAGTGAATTTCGGTATTGACATCGTTGACTGCTAGCATCACAAAAAGAGATAATCAAATGTTATATGCTTCTTGATGGAAAAAAAAGCATATTATCTATGAAATATTTTTGCTGTAAATCAAGCCTAAATCTGATCACATTGGAGCTCGGTGGGTAAAGTCTTCCCTCTGATGCCACTGGCCTTTTATTTTTTTACCAATCAGAAGTAGGCAGTATTGCATTATGGTCACAGCAGTGTTTCTCCAACTTGGGTAACTTGGATCCCTTTTAAAGGAAAGGATTCTTACAGAGCCCCAGTGGTGATTGAAATTATCTTTTCTTAAATATGTGTATTTTAAATTACTTTTATTGGAGTATAAATGCTTTACAATGTTGTGTTAATTTCTGCTGTACAACAAAGTATATCAGCTATATTATGTATGCATATATCCCATCCCTCTTGAGCCTCCCTCCTTCCAAAATTATTATATTACTTACTGTAGACCTACAGCTAGACATGGATATTTTATGTTCATGGCTCCTATACAGCTGTGAAACCATATACATTTTCAAGTCAAATACAAACAAAACTACCAAACAAAACTCAAGTGAGCAACACTGATTTAATGTGAGGGAAGATGTTTTGCTGAAATGAAATGACTGCTTGCAAAGGAGCATGGTATTGCTGACAGTTTTCAGTTTCAGCACTGTATGCAGTTGGCTGACACAATTCTCTCGCCATTTTTATCTAAAAATTCTCCAGGGTCGTGAGGTATGATGTGACTTTACTTGGTCTTTGCTTGGCAAGAGTTCACTGTTAATGATGGGGTATCAAGGCAAGCAGCATAAACACAGACAGAAGTGGTTGTCCTCACAGTTGTGGCTGGGATTTGGTTACAAGGTGATTACCTAGCTCAGTGGCCATCAGCCCTGGCTTTACTTTGGAATGCACATTAAGAAATAATTAAATTAAGATTCTCTCAGGGTGGGGCATTAGTATTGCTTAAAAGCTTTCTAGGTGATTGTCCTGTGCAGCCAGTACTGAGCACTACTGATTTCAAGGATCCAGAAAATGCTTATACACTTGGCTCTCCCTTATCTGTGAGTTCTGCATCATTGGATTCAAGTAACAGTGAATGGAAAATATTTGGAAAAAAAATTCCAGAATCCCCCTCGGATACTGAGGGCCAACTCTACTGATTATTCTTTATAATCCAAAAGAAACACCAAATTCAATCATTCTGAGAGAGAATGTGCCAGTGAACCCCCAGGGGTTTGAGAAATTTGGTTTGGAGTTTGATTCCCAGGCCTAGTTGTGTGGCCTTAGGCAACTTAACCTCTCTGAGGGTTAGTTTCTCATTATAAAAAGAAACTAATAATAGTATCTACCTCACAGGATGTTTGTGAGAATTAGATGACATCATGACTGTACAAACGTCAAACGGAATGCCTGGTTCCTGGTGAGTACTTACTAACGTTAGCTTTTATGAACTATTATGTTGATAACCATGTGGAAGCTACTAAAAACATTTGCTGGGTCAATGTGAGCCCTAAGAAAGTGACAGGGTCAAGAGGGTGCTGGGAGAACCTTGCAAGGAAGTGCAGTTAGTGGCCTTTGATAGAAGAGGCAACAAAGGCAATGATGGCAAGGATGGGAGTGGGGGTGGAGTGGGCTCCATAAGGGTGTGGGCCTGTCAGCCTGGGTTGTGGGTGACGGCTGACTAGCTTGAAACCTGGACCAGCAGCACAAAGAAAAGGGATGAGAATAAAACAGTCACCCTGACATGACCATCCTCAGGAAGACATGATGAAACAGGGAGACAAAGATGAGGCCAGTTAAGTAAACAGAATCTTGGGAGCGGACATGGCCACCTGCAGATTCTGAACAGGAGGCTGGGCCTCCCAGGGCCTGACCAGCTCCCTCAGCTGCTGCTGAGCAGCCCCTTGCCTCAAGGAACAGAGATGTGTCATCATTCTAGGCCCTGCCGGGGACTCACAGTACTGTGTAGAGTGGGTATGAGACCTAATGTTTCTTCCAAATTGTTGGTTGTGCATTTCTGTGAAGAAGACTCCACTTTCTTTCCCTAGAAAGGCTGCCTGGTGAAATCTACACAGCTGATGATTTTGGGCTCTGGTTTGGACCATGACAGACCAATAATCAATCAGGTTGGTGGCTGGATGTCTCCTGAGCCTATGTGTGGATAGACCTAGCCACTTCCTGGTTTAGTTGTATCAAGAATTATGATTTTATTCTTTTAAGGGAGATAATAAACTTAGCAAATAAGAGTTATTTTCTTAAACTACTCAGTGAAAACCAGAAAATATTCTTATGTAAGAACTGGCAAGTTCTTAGGCCTGAAATACTATTCTCCCCAAATGATGTTAGGCATAACACATTAGTAAAACAGTAATTTTAAAGTTATCTTTACAGAAGTCTTGCTTACCTGGAGTCTCTCCCTGAACCCTGCCACTTTTTCAGATTTATCATTGTTTTTTATTCCCTTTGATTTCCCTGGAACATGCTTTCTTACTTGCCTGGTGATTTTAAGCTTTGCAGATTTGTTTTCAGTTGTTTTTAAACAGGTGTCTTTGTAACAAGAGTTGAACATTCAGTGGGCTGATGCTGTGGTATTTCAGTTTCTAAGTTTTAAACTTAAGGGACTTCTTTAAAGTGGACACAAAAACTTCATAAAAGCTTTCATGGTGACAACACTGGGCCTTTAGGGCTAAGCTCTAAGCAGGATGAGAAAACAAAGAGTTATATTGTAACTCCCTTGGTTAATCTAATTTATTCACATATTTAACCACAGTCAGCATGTAGTTGTTTTCCTCAAAGAGGCCCACTTTCCAAAACACAATTTTCAAAATGTCTTCTTTCCCCACAAAGCTCCTTGTGTTTCATTAACCCTTTTTATGCTTGCCAGCATTTCTCGCCTGTAGTTACTTGCCAGCCTAGCAGGACCCTGGTTGAAAATTGACCCTAATCCTGTTTTCATGACATACTCTCTAAGCTACCAATAAATCCCAAGGCTCTCCTGTTAAATACAGTACAGGACCCTACTTGTATATATGGCTGCCTTCTAATTTAGGAAGCCACAAAAGACTGAAACCAAGGGATGCAGGCCAAAATCCTCCTTTGATAAGCCCAGTATTTATTTCCTGGAACACAGAAAGAAGATACTGAGTACTGCTTTTCAGTTATCTGATGAATTCTTTTGGAAAAGATTCATCTTGGAAATCAGTACAGTGATTATTAACTAACATGTTCATTATTGTGGGAATTAGTGGCTTTAGGAATTTAGGTCAGTGTCATGAGTAATAAAAAGGAGTTCACCTGTCTCCTCCTCAGCCCTCTTTGGGAATTTAATTTTCAGTCCTGGAGAAAGGTCTTAGCTACTTCTCACCCCATCCCCAGCAGCTTTAACCACTCCTGTGGTTTCTCTGCACAGATGTCCATGATGTTAACACAGTTCCAGAAACTTGTCCTCCAAATAGGATGGTGATTTCCCTGACTGGTACCCGTGTCCAACTCCAGCCTGTTACTCCAGCCTTTTAGTTTACCATGTTCCTATAAAAATGTGGAATTTTTCTTCCTGCCTGACAAAATGATTTACTTTCCCTTCAGCCTAGTGTTTTGTGTGGGATGAGGTTGTTGTGAACAAGATGTTTTTTCCTCCCAATTTCCAGTGTTTCAGAATCCCATTCCCACCTCTTTTATTGGTGTAACAAATGGGCTTTTTAGCTGTGGGGCCTCAGTTTCTAAGCTTTTGAAAATTCTGTTGGGTTAAGTGTACAGTATCATCAATAGAAAGTCATATTTTATATGTTGCTACATATAAAACCTTGGGATTCAACTGGCTTCTTTCTAGACATTGGGAATACAGGCACAACACAGCTCCTGACCATCAGACACTTTAGACTGGATTAAAAACTTTTTAAAAAATTGTAGTTATCCTGTTTCTTGGGCATTTTTATTTTGCACTCAACAGCAAGAAAAATGACTAAGAAATAAAGAATCAGTAGAAATGCTTAAACCAGATAATTAAATCAAAGGGTACTTTATTAAAAAAAAGAATCAAAACAGAAACTCTAAGTACCAGTGTGTACATTGTACACATTTAAATGACTCACAAGAATGAAGTTTTTTTCATAGACATTATCATACCACCTGTTGTTTATCAAAAGATGTTAAAAGAGAAATCTGACTCCAACCTGTATACAAGATTGCCATCTTAAACAGACCTTATTTCAAACATGCAACAACGCCACTGGTAATAAAGCTTTGGAATGGGTGCTCATTCTATTATTTCACTACAAAGAGGAGAGAAAGCAAGATAAGTTGAGAAGTTATTCTAAAATAGAATGGAAGCTGTCATTTTCTACACCTGCACTCCTCACTCCTCTGCTGCCATTTTTAGCAAGTACTCCTTGTCGATCTTGAAGAGTCTCCATCCCTCTTCGCTGGACAGATCAGAGGCACCTCTTCTTTTGTAGAAGTTGATGGATGGTTCATTCCACTCTGCCACCAAGAAGTGCATGCTGCTGCAGCGACACTTCATTGCAACCTGTTAACATGGGAGAGGAAAATGAACTCAGTGACAGTGCACCTGCTTTCCAAGACCCAATTTCAATTCAGTCCTTCAAATAATCCAGTAACCCTTGCAAATTTGGAAACCAAACACCAAGACATACCTGGCTTAGCTTCTTCAGAATTTCTGATCCTATGCCAAAGCCTAAAAGAACGAGAAGTACCATTTTAAAAAGTCATTTAAAGGACTTCAAGCCCGATTTCTCTTTAGAGTGCCCCTACTGAACTCAACCATACCTCTATAATCGCTCATCACAAAGAAGTCCTCAAGATACAACAGTTTGCCGATCCATGGATCATAGGTAAAATAGTACATGGCAAAACCAACAATGCTGTGTCCTGTAATAAGAGTATCACATGAGTTATGGATGAAAAACAATCTGTCAAAGTTGTAGGTGCAAAATCAGAAGCCTATCATAAGATTAAAAAAATAAACATGCATGTATTATAAAAATAAGTAGCCATTGGACCAGACTATCTTCTGACTTTTAGGCTAGTGCAATCCAGGTCACTGTTGGATGATCTCACTGTTCTTAGAACATGTTTTCACAAAAAGCACACATTAGAGCTAGCTGAAGCCCGGCTAAAACCATGGACTGGCCACTTGGCGATCTGTTGGATCTCACACTCAGGAAGTGAGAATGCTTTCATTACTTGCCAGAGTGAAAGTGCTATGGTCTTAAACACACACATTATTCACATCCTATTGATATACTGGTATGTTGACTTGGGAATAAGTTAGGTTTACACGGCAGTTCAGAATAGTAAGTATTTGTAGTTTAGAAACTCTGCTTCCTTAAGGTCAGGACATAAGGCCAAAACAGTAAGGTTTAATTTCAGAACTTGCCTTCCAATTCACACATTTTCAATTTGCTTTCCCAGTGTGTAAGTCGGAAGAAGTAGAGGTACTCAGGTATTATGTAACATCCATATACCTCTGGAAAGTACCTCATCCCTTATGTATTTTGTTCATTTTTTTTCTAGCAGGAGGAAATGACCTCAGAACAAAAAAACACCCTTAATCAGCCCCCAACCCGGCCCAACAACTTCCCCCTTTGGCTTTGTCTTTTGGCCATTCAACAATGACCAGGAAGAAAAACAACAACAACAACAACAGCAAAGAGAAAAACAAAGAAAAAAAAAGGAAAAAAGCATCCGACTTCCTCTTAATAGGTGTCTGTAATTCCAATTGGAGGCAAAAGTTTCAAATTAAACTTTCTAGCCATCTTATAGTCCTTCCCAAATAGGAAGCGAGTACATTGGTGCTTCTGATCTACCGTGTTTTAAGTGTGTGATAATAGGGCCTTACCTCATTTATCATGATCATCTACTTTATTGTGTAAAGGATCTTTTAGTTACCTCCCCGCCCATCCATGTACACGGAAGGGCCATGTACATGGCGAAGCTAGAGACTGTAACCTGAAGATTGGGACAAATTAAAGAAAAAAATGTAATTTAACACAGATACAAAAAAGGTTACGTTAGGGTCAAACAAGAACCATTTATGAAACTGAATTTACAACAAATGATTTTATACCTAACTTTTCCGGGTCTCCACCGCATTCTGATACTTACATAAACAGCTCAAACTCTTCCGGGTCTCCACAGCACTGATCCTTAAAGAGCTCTTTTAACCCGCCCTATTATTAAGTGCAGCACATCTATTTTTTTTCAGTACTTTGAACACTGGCTGGCTATTATTTCTGGCCAATTTCTCAGTTAAGTAACTTCAGCCTGTGTTGTCAGTGCTTCTACAGAGCGGACGCTACCTCTTACACAACACTCGGTCTCTTCGGCTTCTAGAAGGGCAGGGCGATTACCTTCCGGAGTCAGGTGCTCCTTAGGCACTTCTGCAACTAAGCAGTGGTAGAAGGGGTGCTCTCCGAAACCGTCTTCTAGCAGATCTGCAAGAAGGGGAAGCAGAGACAGTGTTGGAGTCGGTGAAAGTCGTCCCCCAGACGCTCGTCCCCCGCCCTGCCACTGATGCGTTACCTTTTTCAGTTAACATTACTTGCTCTTCCATGTATTCGTATTTAGCCAATTCCTGGGTTGAGGCAGATAAGAAAAAGGAAGAGAAGCAGAAAATTAAGTGAGGCCCCGGCACAGACAGCTCGGCGGAAGGGGGTGAGCGGGGCGGGGATTCGTTCCGAGTTTCGCCGGGAGCGGCGCCGCCTGGCCGGGCTATGGGTAGGCAGGCGGAGAAAAGGGGACCTGCGGGGTACAAGGACCCCAACTCCGCCTCGGGAGGAGCCCGCGCTTCCCGCTACCTTGATCAGCCGCAGGATGTCACTGCAGTCGCCAGCGGTGGCCGGGCGGATCACGAATTTAGCCATTTTCGTCTTTTGCTTTTCTTCCCTTTGCGGACCAGGCCCCTGTACTTGAACAGTAGGAGGAGGTGGTTCCTCATTCGTCTCCCGGGAGCGTCCTCTTCCCAGTCAGGATGGCACCATGACCCGGCGAACCTCGGCGAACAACGTAAGACAAGCAGCTCACTGCAAAAGGAGCCGCGCGCGTTCCTGCCGCCGGGCTCTCTGCTTTTTAGCCTGATGAAGCCCCGCCCCGGGACGTGAGGCGGAGGCGCCTCGTCCAATGAGGACGCGACCGCCCCCTCTTCCGGGCGCCTCCTCCTTTTCCGGGCGCCTGTGTGAACCTGGCCCGCGCGGGCGGGGTGCGGGCGGCGAGGCGCTAGGCTGAGCTCTCTAGCGGCGCCCTCTCGTGGCACATGGTGGAGGCTTCCCGAAAGTCCGACCTCCCAGCCTAGGCGTCCCCTAAGTGACCTTTGCAAAAGGAAGAGAGAGCTTCCCCTTTGGGCCCTGGACCAACGACTTGACAGTTTCTTCTTTGGAGACACCTGGCTTTGAGCGGTGAGGGGATGAGAGGTTTAGAGTAGCGGCTCGCATAGGGTGGTCTGGGGGGCCCTGTGGGTCCCAAGATCATTTCAGAACTAGCTAGCTTCATAGTAATAATAGGGTTTCATTTGCCTTTCTTATTTTCGCTGGAATTTTCCAGATTACTGATGTATGATGACGTCATTGCTCTCATGACTAAAGGAATGTGTGCTTGCATGTTCTTCTGTTTTCTAGAATTTCCCAAAGTAAGCTATTTGGTTTCCTCAATAATTCTTTCCCCCTCTGCTGGTAATTTGTAGAGTTAACAATATTTTCTTTCTTACTTTTTTCGTTTTTATTTTTTTCTTAAAATCTCTGGCTTTCCTTTGGAAACACTTTCCTTCTGCCTGAGGTACACTCCTTCTGACTTGCATTTAGTGAGGGTCCGCTCTTATAACATTTTCTGTTTTGCTTGTCTAAATATGTCTTTCAGTTATCCTAAAGTTCTTGGAGGATTTATTTCACTTTGAACGAATTTGAGGTTGGAAGTTCTTTTCTGTTAGCATATTGATGACATCTATCTTCTGGCTTCCATTGCTGTTTAAAGTTGTTATATTCCCTCCTTGCTCATTCCCTGCCCTTCTTCTCCCCTCCTTTAAAACTTTTTATTTTGAAGTAATTACAAATTTACAGGATGTGTGATGACATCGTTGCTTTGGTGACTAAAGGAAGGTGTGTTTGTGTATTCTTGTGTTTTCTAGAATTTTCAAAGGTTAGCTTTTAGAATTTTTCAATAATTTTTAAATGTCCTGAGAGGAAATGTTTGAGAACTGTTGGATTAGATTATAGCTCTTCCTGAATTATACCCACTGGAGCAAGTACTCCATCCTTTTGCAGATACAGGTTTTTATTTACAAACCACCTTCCCAGACAGGCCTTCTGAGGGCCCTGCTTTTTTTTTTTTTTTTTTTTTTTTGAGGGCCGTGCTTTGACTGCCCAGCCTGGGTTCCTGACTGAGTCAGAGTGAAAGTGTAAAGGGGGCCTGCAATGTTTTCAGTCTGTAGGTTGGATTATCACCAAGTGACCCCTCCCCCAACATTCAACATAACAGACTCTGCTTGCAATATCCTGTAGGTAGAAAAGAAAGCAAAAGTAGCTCCCCTTCCCACCCTCTGGGGATATCATGCCTAGTGAGTCATTGTGAGAGTTTATGAAATGTGTTTCTCAAACATATTTAAAAATAGCATTGATTCTCATCTGCCTAAGCCACTTTAGGTAGTGTTTCCTGACACCATTGCACTTGGGATGACCATACATAGGCCCTTCCTTCCTCTACTTTGTGTTGTGGGAAGACCCAGGAGAGCTTGTTACAGAATCAGTACTAACAGTAAGTTAGAACTCTGTGACTAAGCATTAATAATAACTGCCTCCTTGAAGCAAAAACAAGGCCGTTTTCAATGTGGTCTGCTTAGTCTTTTAGAATAATGGTTGTTTGTCATTAAAACACATAATATATGTTTTTCTATTTATTCTGCTTTTCTGGTTTCAGTTTCATGTTCTTATGCTTCATTTTGCCATTGTGACAAGAAGAGCCCCTTCAGAAAAATAGGTGGCTAGAAAAAGCTCATTGATTGTGTTTTTTGCACAAGCTTAGAACCCTAAGAAATGTGAATTTTCTTTATGAATCAAGTTAGTTTTTTCATTGTCAGGAATAGATAGATGCCATGAGTGAACAACATTACCCGCTCCTGATAGTGGAATTTAAATTTAAAACTGAATAGAAAGAGCTTAACTGCCTAGCATTTGGAAAACTTTTGTTTGGTTAATGAGTCAACAAATCTACAACTATTTATTGACTCTTATGCTAGGTACTTGGGGGTTTATAATAAAGTAGGTCTAAGTTTTGAAAGAAGCCCTTAAGGCATGCAGTTTACTTTAGAGATATATTTGTAGTTTACTATAACCAGATTTAATCTTTATCAGAAAGATAATTCCTATAACTGAAGAGGTCTGAGAGGAGAGAAGAGTAGCAGGAAAGGAAATGGCCAGGGACATCATGGATGTTTTATAGTCATTGTCTCATTTGATATCAGCTGTCTTGTGAAATAGCTAATGTTAGGCTCCATCTTTGCAATAGAGGAAACCAGAGGCTCAGAGGGCTACAAAACTGCCACAGCTAGGAAATGGTAGAACTAGGAAAGAAGGAATACTGTTGATTTCCATGCCAAAGTGAAGCTGTCCAATTTGCTCTATTAAACTATTATGGAAGGTGTCATAGATTTTTTTTTCTGTTTATAAAAATAATGCATATTGATTAGGTAAATTGGATAAGTGCAGAAAAAGAAAAAGTTAATAATAATTCCAAATAGTAGGCTGATTTCTTTCTAGTCTTTTCTATGTACCTACATGGGTAGGGCTGATATTAAGTTGGTATGTACAGTGTAGTGAATTAAAATGGCCACAAATTCATTGAAGCTCCTCCCATCAAGAGGTGGAGTCTGTTTCCCCACTCCTTGAATTTGGACTGGCCTTGTGACTTGCCTTGACCAATAAAATACAGTAAAAGTGGTGGTGTACAACTTCTAAGCAAGACCTCAAGAGATCATAAAGCTTCTGCTTCTGCTTTCTTGGATTGCTGCTGCTGCCATATGAGGAAACTAGAGCTAGCCTCCTTGAGGATGAAAGATCTCATGCATATGTAAGGCCAGATACATAAGTGACACCATCTTGGACCATTTAGTCCCAGTCGAGCTGTCAAATGATTGTACTACACAAGTGATCCTAGGTAAGACCAGCAGAAAAACCTACTCACTGTTCCCAGCCCATGTTATCAACTCACAAAATCATGAGTCAATAGAATGCTTGTTTTAAGCCACTACACTTCAGGATTTTTCCTTACACAGCAAAGGCTTACTGAACTCAGATGGCCATTTGGGTTGTTTACTCCTGGTTTCCATTCTGATTGGTTGCAGCATCCATTCTGACTGGTCTGTGCTTGCTTGTATTCACTTAAAAATATTTTAAAAATAACCTGTGTGGGTTATGCCTATGTAATAAAAAGTTGGAATCATGTATCTATAATGCCTCTCCTGCTGAATAGTGTAGTAGCTTCTTATCTACTGGGCTCCCCTGGTGGCTCAGACAGTAAAAGTGTCTGCCTGCGATGCTGGAGACCCGGGTTCAATCCCTGGGTCAGGAAGATTCCCCTGGAGAAGGAAATGGCAACCCACTCCAGTCCTCTTGCCTGGAAAATTCCATGGACTGAGGAGCCTGGTTGACTTCACTTTCACTTTCTTATCTACTACAGCTTTGTCCTTACACACTCCCCAACTGTGTGATTACGTCACTACATAACCTTGTTAAGTCACTGTTTCTTCATCTGTAATGAGAAAATATTAATAGTATCCTTCATATGGTAATTGTTGTTAGGATTAAGCAAGTAATACATATAAAGTACCCAGTGGGAATTCCCTGGTGGTCCAGTGGTTAGGACTCTGCACTCTCACTGCCAAGGGCCTGGCCTTCAGTCCTTGGTTGGGGGACTGAGATTCCACAAATAGTGTGGTGTGTGCCCCCCCCAATGAAAAGAAATACTTAGCATTGCACCTGGTATAATTGTTAGCATTATTACTATTAATAGTATAGAGTATTTTTCCATGTCAGTGAGTGTATCTAAATTAAATATATATAATGACTCCTTAGAGTCGCATTGTGTGTAATTTATTGTACCATTCTATTGTTGAAGACTCAGGTGTTTTTCCAGTGATAAATAATACTTTGATAAACATCTTTTTATCCAAGTTTTAGCCCAGCTTTCTGATTGTTTTCTTATGTAGTTTCCTAAAAGTGAAATTACTAGGTAAGCAGAGATGTAATTTTGTTGGTCTGGGAGTATAATTTGAGATGACTCTCTAGATGTGCTCGTTCTAGCTTGAATTATCTAAATTTTGGTAACATGTCTGTATTCCACAGGTTATAATAGATCTTTCTCAGAGGGTGTTTTTCTTGCTACGTAACACAGGTGGGTGATAACCTGTGAGAATGACCAATGAATAAATACAACCACCTCCAAGAAATCATCTTGTTTGGGGCCAGACTTTTCTTTTTTTTTTCAAATTTATTTTTTATTGATGTCTAGTTGAATTACTGGCCAAGATACGTTCCTTTCTTTTCTTTACCTTTCTTTCATTTTGAGAAATTACAATTTAGGACATGGAAAGCTCTTCCATCTTTGGGAGTAAACCATGAAAAGTCTAAGACTTCTCTTTGTAAATGTAAAGTATTATATGACTTTAGGCCGCATTTGAAAGAACCTGGTCAGTAATAAGCGAGGTATTAACCAGGCCTCTTGTTTGCAAGTGAAGTTACCCCATTCTAACTGGCTTAGGCAGAAGGAGAATTCACTGCTCATTGCAAGAAGCACAGGTATGACAGGAACCAGGACCTTGTGGTACCACCTGAAATGTATACTGAGTGAGAGAGAAGATCACAGTTTGTGATGGGCA